TGCATTACATTTTTTTTTTTTTTTTTTTTTTTTTTTTTTTTTTTTGGGGGGTTTTTGAGACAGGGTCTCACTATGTAGTTGAGACTGACCTGGAACTCACTTTGTAGCTCAGGCTGGTCTCCAACTCACAGCGATTCTCCTGCCTCAGCCTCCCTAGTGCTGGGATGACAGGCGTGCGCCACCATGCCCGGCCACTCAGGGTACATTTCTGCTGTGGAAACCAGCCAGCTTTGGACTGAACCCACTGGAAACTGAGAGCTACAAAAACCTCTCCTCCTTAGAGTTGCAGATGTGGAGCACTTTGTCCCTGGGCGGAGAAAGCAGTGGAGACGGATGGGTAATAGATAAAGGCAGTGCATTCTCAGAGAGGGTTATTACTGAGCCACCAAAAGAGGTCAGCTTCCAGCACGCTCAGCCACACGGAGAAGCCCACGACTAGGTCAGGGGAGCCAGCACCCCAGATGCCTCGGGACAATGTCATGGATGCCACACGCTCAGAAAGATAAAAACCATAGCAACAGAAGCAGGGTAGTGCTTGGCAGAGGCTGGGGGTGGGTGGAGGGTGTGGCCAAGAAGCCATAGCCTGCAGAGGGAGATTTTCTTTGGGGGGGTGGTGTGATGGAACTGTATTCTGAAGCTGGTTTTTATGCAAATTTACACCCATCAACACATTTGCAAAAATTCTTCACGTGGTGACACACAGAGAAAAAAAGCAAACCCAGCATTATGTAAGTTTTAATTTCTTTTATTAGTTCATTTTTTTGAGACAAGGTCTCACTGTGTAGCCCAGGCTCGCCTGGGACTAGCAGTGATCCTCCTGCCTCAGCCTCCCAAGTTTGCTGGGATCACGGGCGTGCAGGACCGTGACTGGCTGGCACTGTGTAAGTTTTACAAATGAGGGCGGAGGCAGGAGGATTGCCTGGGTAATTTGTCGGCTTAGCAGGATCACGTGTCAACAGTTTTAAAAGGCCGGGAGTATAGCTCAGTATAGAAAGAAGATGCAGAGAGAGAGGAAGGGAGGGGGGAGGGGAGGCTGGAGGCACAGCTCATTGTGCTTAGCTTGTGTGAGCACCTGGGTTCCAGTCCCAGCCCTTTTTCGATTTTATTTGGAGATATGGTCTTGTTACTTTGCTCAGACTGGACCCACGCTTGTAATCCTGCCTCGTCCCTGGGGTGATAGGCGTGAGTCACTGTGCCTGGCTCCGTTTGCTGGTTTTCATTTTATTTTTTAGACACACACACGTGCTAGTGCTTGTCTTCCCGAATGAACTCATACAACGGCAGATTATCCCGGACTGTGCCCAGCTTGTGGACAGGAAGTGGCTTTGTCGATTTGGGGAAGTAGAAAGGCGTTTTCACTTCAAGCTGGAGAATTGAACACCCACCAGGGGGCCACCTCAGGGGGCCGGAGGGAAGGGGCTGAGTTCTTTAATGTGAGGCCAGTAGGAGCCATGGACGGCATTAGAGTGAGGATTGAACCTTCTGGGAGTCTGGCATCCGTCCCCGACATGGCCAGGGGATCCCCAGCCTGTGGCTCAGCCCCTCCTGTCCCACAGCTGCCATCTCTGGGACCTCTGGGGCCTCCCGGGGCATCCTGTTGGGGGTGTCAGGCAGGCGAGCAGGACAGCACCTCCTGGCCCTGGTGACCCCGTGAGGAGGCCTCTATCACATGCCCCATCTGCCATTCGCAATGAATCAACAGCCAGAAAACCGCAGTCTGTTCCTTCTCCTAGGCCGGGGCAGGCCTGGGCCAGTCAACGGCAGCACTGGGTGGGGCGGGAGGAACCGTTGCTGCTGACAGCCGCTGTGTGGCCCTGGGCTCCTGCACACCCTCTCTGAGCCTCCCGGGTACCCGGCCTGGGAGAGCCCGACCTTGCCTGTGATGCCTGTGATTTGCCCACTGCAGACTCCCAGTCTACTTTGAAGGACCTGGGCTCCAGTGGGGTGAGGCAGGGAGGTCTCTTGGCCTGAACGGGGGAGGCCACTTTTGCTCTCCAGTTCAACTCCCAAGTCTTTTATGCTCAGAGACTTGTCTGACTGCTCCTGCAGATCCCAAATGTCATTTGACCTAGGACCCTCCGTTTCTGGGGGATTTTTTAGACAGTGTCTCACTGGGCTTGAACTATGTAGACCTGGCTGGCCTCAACCTTGTAGCCTCAGCCTCCTGAGTGCGGGGGTGACAGGCATGGGGCCACAGCACCTGGTTTAGATCCCTTATTTAAAGCCAGCTGCCTCTTACCTGCACCTTTCCCCCAACATCTTTGTTTTCTTTTTCTCACAGAATTTATCTCTGTTTCGCTGTGGGGCGTAGATCAGTGGTGCATCTCTCCTAGCAGGCAGGAGGCCCTGGGTTCCATCCCCAGCACAACAAAAACGAAACAAAACAAGCCTGGCGTGGGGGTGCACACCTGTCATGGCAGCTACAAAGGAGGCTGAGGCAGGAGGATTGCAAGTCTGAGCCCAGCCCAGGCAACTTAGGGAGACCCTGTCTCAAAATAAGAAATAAAAAGGGCTGTGGTTGTGGTTCACTGGCGAGTGCCCTCCTGGCATGAACAAGACCCAAGTCTCAGCACCGGAAAAACAAAAGAAAGAATTTATCACCACCCGACAGGCTGTGACTGTTTTCAGTGTTTGTTTTCTCTCTCCCTGGCCAAAATTTTGGGCCGGTCCTGTTTTTGTCCCCGTTGTGTTCTGAATGCTCAGAACCAGGCCCGGTCTGCAGTCTTTATTTTAAGACAGGTTCTCACTCTCTGCGCCCAAATCTGGGATCCTCCTGCCTCAGCCTCGCAGCTTGCCGGATGACACGGAGGACACGGACGACGCTGAGGCGCTCAGCGGGAGACGTGATGTCAGCTCCTAATTGGCCCCGAGGAGGGGTGACACTCTGGGCGGTGTCAGCACCCGGCAGGGTGGGGTGTGGGGGCCACCCTCCTCCAGAATGAGGAAGGAGGCTGGGCGCCCGCGGTCCTGGTCCCGGCGAGGGTTCCTTCCCGCGCTCAGCGGCCCCTCCG